AAGAGAAATAAAAACTGTTCCAAGTGGATGGCAAAGCCAAATGTAAAACTAGGAAAATTTCAGAAGAAAACACGAGAAAAATCTTGGTGACCATGATCAGGTAGTGTTCTTACACGACATTAAAAGCTCAAACTGTAAGGAGAAAAGCTAGTGTTAAGTAGGAGTTCATCAAATGTTGTTGTTGTTTCTTTCTTCCTCTTTTTTATTTCTGTAAAAGACACTGCTCAGCAAATGATGAGACGAGACGAACAGAAGAGGCACTTGGAATCACATAGCTGACAAACACCCAAAATAAGGAACTGTCAAAATCAATCGCAACTAAACACACAATTAATTAACAACCTGCTGAATTCACAACACAAGCTTTGGCAAAGAGGACATCAGTGGTGAGTGAACACAGGAACCTGGCAGCAGGCAGCAAGGTCCACAGTATGCAAGGTTGACGCAGGGCAAGACCAGGGGACGGGCTCACGCAGTCCCAGAAAACACTGGACAGTTATGTGAAGTTATACACACACTCACCATGGACCCAGAGATCTACTTCTCATGTTTGTTTCTTTGGAGCAGGGTGACTATATATCCCAGGCTAGCCTTGAACTCACAGAAATCCTCCTACCTCTGTCTGAATGCAGAGATTACAAGCATGTGTCACAATACTCAGACCGGAAATTTAAGTGTCTACCTGGGGCAGCACCAGTGAACTTGGAAGGGTCAGAAGAAGCACCCAGATTCCAGGGTCACATGGTCATCAGGCAGCTATTTAGCTCTGTGGTTACTGCCATGAACTAAGGATACTTCCTGGACAAAACTGGATGTGATGTGGATTTGGCTGTGGCCATGGTTGGTCAGCCCCTGCCCAGAAATTCAAGTATCTGTTCTCAGGGACCTATGCACATATTCATAACAGCTTACTTTGTGATCACCCATCACTATAAGCAATGCAAAAACCCTGTGGTGTGGAACTTAAAAGTGCTTCAGTTTTCCATAGCGGGGGGTGGGGGTGGGGGGGTGGCATGGATACAGAAAGAGGTGAGGGGTCCTGGTGCGGCCATCCATTAGTACCTCATAGGCATGATGCTCTGTCAAAGTCTCCAAAGACAATACATTTGGACAGCTGGATCCAGAGTCACACCCAGGGCTGGGAGTCCGAGACACAGCATGGAGGAATTTCTGGGCTGATGAACTCCATAGTGCCATGAAACAGACACAACCCAGCAGGGCAGTGAGGATCCCCAGGTACCATACCTTTTGTCTCCACCTGTGCCCAGTAGCCCAGAAGACTCAGATGTGACCTCTAGGCTCACAACAGGCTATCCAGGGAGAGCATGTGCTCTGCTTCAAGGATGTGCAGAGATGTCAGGCTGGGGTTTCTGTGTTATGATGAACAAGCCCTGTGCTGACTGGGGCCTGTCATCTTGCCCAGCCTTCTGCTCTCCTTACAGGTGGATAAAGTAAGGCATCAGACTGAAAAAAACTGTGCCTACAGGGATGTGGACACCATTGTTCACTGTCAACACAGCTTCTCTGGTGTGACCATGTGTCAGGGTATATAAGGAAAGGCCCTGGGACCCACAGATAGGAAGGTGAACCAGCAGTGTCCAGGGCTCCCAAGGAAGAAATGGTGGGAGTGGAAGCACATGCTGCTGGTTGCCCACAGTGACCCACTCAATCCCGACTTGAGAGATGACAGAGACCAGCACAAAGCTAGTCAGTCATAGCTCAGTTCTATGAGTAGAGATAAGGATGGCCTACAGGCCAAGTGAGGGCCTGTCCACAGTGAAACAGCGACAGCCCAGGTTCAAGGTCAGCATACCCATTACATCTGTCCACTAGCATTCATTCTTCCTGGGATGTGATGGAAAACACAAGACCCATGTGGTTTTCTCAGAGGGGCAGAGACTTAGAAAGGAGGAGGCTGTGTATGTACCCTCATTTACTTTATTTTATTATGTATTCTCAGGAGAAAGGCAAGTTAAAGAGGTGGGAACAGATTGGCAAGAAGTTAAATTCCCAATGCCCTTAGTACAGAAAACAGATACTGAACAGGGATTGGGCAGCTGCCAGTTCATACAGCAATGGGAGCTGAACCCAGCACAGCTCCCACCTGTGTTGAGCAGTGTGTTGAGAGCATCGGGTGAGCAGCTGACAGCAGCTCTACCCTAGTCCTAGGAGCCCATGAGGAGGGCAATGCTTGTTCTCCCATAGAGGGATCTGTGCAAAAGGAATTACCTCCATAGCTGCAGATTTCTGAGAATCTGCCAAGTACCAACCACAGTGCCAGGAGCCACTAGAGCAGTATGTGGTACTTTAGCGCCCTGGGGACTCTGTTGATGACTAGTCTCCCATCGTAGCTCAGGGAAGCAAACAGCCAGGGGTCAGCTGAGGCCCAGTCCACTGCATACACGCTGTCTTCATGCTCCTCGTAGGTGGCAATGACATTGTCCTGCAGGGGCTCCTTACTCCTACAACCCAGGAGAGAGACCTGAGTGAGCTATAGGGGTGAGAGGGCTCCCAGAGGGGAAGATGGAACAATCCATACAACCCATGTGGGGCCAGTGTGCCACATCCCAACGGCCTTCACGGCAGCTCTGGGGACAGGGGATCGCCAGTGGCTTAAAGACACCGTGAGTGATTTGGCTTCCCCATCCTCGCCACTGTGGGTTCCTGGGGGGATAGTCTGCTTGGTGCATTACCAGGGCCCTGGCTGGGAACATGGTCACTGTGCCCAGGAGAGCATGGCAGCAGTTGCTAGCATGTGAGCTGAAAGGACAGTGGAGCAGTCAGGCCAGCTCCTCACTGCACAGAGGAGCTGGAGGCTGGCTACAAGGGGTTTTGTCCAGGATTCCCAGGCTGAAGCCACCCACAGCACCAAGGGGACAGTTTTGCCCAGGTGTGCAACCTGCCTGGGTCTGATACTGAGTGAGGCAATGCCCTCTCCTCATGTCCTTGGACATGAACCTGGATGGTCCTTACAGAGAATCATGGGGCTGTGAGCACAGTGTACAGGCATGAGGCCAGGGCCTCCTGGACTATGTGAGCAGAGTTTGAAACCCTAGAGCTGTCTGGAAAGTGCAGTCCTAACCTGCCCCAGGCACAGGCCCACTCTGTAGGCACAGCTACTTTGACACTATCTCCGAGTCTAAGGATCCTTGTTGCTTGTAAACAAAATGCTTGGAGGTCTTAAAGTCTTCCACCCACCCTTGAATTGAACCTAGAGTCTGAGATCATCATATGGTAAGATTCTGAGATATCACCAAGACCCTATCTGCCCAACAGAGGCCTGCTAGTGGTCAAAGAGCACTTTGTGACAAATACCAAGAAAAAGTCTCCACAGGAATCCCATTTCCCTAGATTTAGTGGCATCAGCATGGCAAGTAGTCATCACAATAGTGCCAGCCACAGTCCCTCCCCTACTTCCTCTTTCCCTCCCTGCATCCCTAATGCTACTCCCAAATGGAAAGCAGCACACACATTAATCACTGACAGACTAAGGGAACAAGTTTGTTTCTTCCCTAGCAGAGAGGAGGGGGAGCAGACAGCCTCCCTGGAAGAAATCAAGTCTGTGTGAGACTGGGGAAGAGCAGCTCCAGCCTCTGCACCCGTGCTCAGCAGTGTATAGTCACTGTCTCTACGTATTTTAAACAGAAACGTGACAGTTGAGGGACAACCCCTGATAGATAAGTTTCTCTACACAGTGGTGTCTCCTCATAGAGTAACTAACCTAGGCTCAAGTAAGGGAAGGGTTCAGACACAGACCAGGACAGAGGCCTGGGTTCTAGGGCAGAGGCCTTCAGCATTCACTGGGCTCCCAGGGCAGAGGCCTGCAGTGGGATCTGGGCTCTACTTGCCTAACTCATTGGTTTCACTCCTGAGCCTCCTTACTCTGGAATCCAGAAATGAATTTCTGGGGTGCATCCAATCATCCTTAGTGGTCACAGTCCCAGGAGCTGGGTGAAGTCATTTTAGAGGACAAGGGTATCTCCTTCCTGTATGGGCTGCACAGAGCAAGCCATGGGCCCTGCTGCCTTCTCTTAGAATGCAAGTGAGAGTACTCATGCTAGCTTGCATAGGCAAGGGCCTTGCAATCACCAGTACAAGGGTGACCTTAGACCTCTTGTCCAGGGGACAGCAACCCTGACTCGAAAGGGTGCTACAGCAGCCATCTCCCAGTCACAGGTACAACCACCATGGGAAAGCAGGAGCAGGGCAAAGGGCTTTTAGAAAACAATAACCTTGAGGCTAGTTGGGATGGAGCACCACAGCATTTTGTGTAGTGTCTCAGGGGTGAACAGGCCTGACTTTGAGACTGACTAGTTGGCCAGAAGGGCCACCTGTATCAGCCAGCTGAAGGCTGCAAATGGCCAGCACTGTGAACTGTACACTGAGAACACAGGACAGCAAGAACACTGCGATCTTCTATTATAGGAAGTGACGAAGCCCTGTGAGTGTCAGTTCACACTGCTGCCAGTGTTCAAATCTGGAGACCATAATAGCCTTTCAAATATGACACACATGACATTTAGTGAGACTGAAAAATACAGATACATGCATGCCACATAGGAAGGCATCTCATGACTTCTGCATTGCTCCCTGTCTCAGGTTAATGACCTCTGGATCTGAAGAGGCATCCCCTTTACCACACTCAGGACACTTCACAGAAACCTGGACCCAGAGGTCATCTGTGAGCAAAGAATACTCTTGCCCTGAGAGCCACTCGGCAGCTGTGGCTCTTACTTTTCTTCAGCATGGTGCTCCTCTGAGTCGCTGACGTCATCATCATCCACCAGGTGGCCAAAGGGCTCTGAGGAGATGGACACCATGTTAGATAGGATGACTCTGCTGTCGCTGCTGCCAGTGAGGACCAGTTGGTCATGAGAGTGGTTGTAGCGGACGCTCCACACCCTGCAGAGGGCATAGGCAACTGCTGAGATGAACAGTTGTGGGTGAACTCAACATGTACGAGTGGCCCTGACCATACTGAACTAGGCCACACTGGATGTGGCACATAATCCACCATACACTGATGCTGGGGACCTTGGGGCGGGCACTGAGGCAGACCATGTGCTGCTCTAAAATATTCTTTTAGGACTCAATAAACAAGACCAGAAGACTAAATGTCAGCTTGCACCTGCAGAGGGAGATGGCTTACTGCTCAGTATTCCAGATGGGCTTTCTGAAATTCTAAAGCAAAACCCACCTCCCCTGAAGCAACATGTGGATTAGCCACAACCTGGAACATCAAACAAAGCCCCAAACATTATTCCAGTCAGGCGCTGCCATGGGACCTGAGACAAGGGCCTTGGAGTCTCAGGTCAGATGCTGCCTCATCAGAGCAGCTCTGGGCCCCACTGAGTTTGGTCTCCTGATCCTGCCAAAACCACAGAAGACTCTAGTGTCTAGTGGTGGGGCGTGCAACCTCACACGCAGAGCTGCACCCAGCATTGTGGGCTCAGCTCAGCTTTCTATTCAGACTGATGAATTCACCTGATTCATCAGAACTGCACACGGAGACTCTGGGGCTTTGCAGGAACACCACCACTTCTGGTGAGTAGTTCACAAAGCTGGAGATGTAGGCCATAGGAAGGGAAAGGCCTGTTGGGGGGCCCTCCAACCTGGGGAGGATTCCTCACGAGAGTGGCTCTCTTTCAGTCAGGTTTTTATTCCATATGCCTGTATACATACACACATGCACACATGCATGTGGGCACATGTACAGATATGCTCTATTGCAATAGAAACATGATTTCATTCCATACACACTAGTCTACATCTTGTTTTTTTTTCTTCCTTAGCATATGGTGCACATCCAGATAATATTTTAGAAAGGATGAATGGTCTTGGGCATTCTTCCACATCCACACACATACAGATTCCCCTCATTCCTTCTGACAGCTGCATAATCTCCATTGCACGGATGTCACCAAATTTACCTAACCAATCCCTCACTGACGGACATTTGGGTCACTTCCAGGTTCTGTGTATTGCAAACAATGCTGTGTGAACATCTGCATACATTTACTTTTGCACACTTGAACCAGTGCTGTTTTAAGAGGAAACAAAATCTGATGTTTTTCTTCTTTTCCTATGCTTATAAATCACAAACATTCAGATTTGGAATTAGTGTTTCTTTAGGAAGAATAAAACTGGGTTGATTGAATGATCCACAGCAGCACAAACTAAGCTGGTTTGTGCTTTTCCAAATGGTAAAGTAATTAGCAAAATAAACTGCATAATCCCCTCTTCCCTGAAGCACATGCAAGCAAGCCCCCATACCAGTGGGAGTGCTCTTCCAGAGTCTTCACAGGCTCGCTGACATTCCGGGTGTCCCAAAACTTCACCTTGCAGTCGTCTCCACAGCTGGCTAGGTAGTACTGCTTGTTGGGGTTGAAGTCGAGGTCACGCACCAGCTGCCCGTGGGCATTCTCTATGCAGTATATCTGGCTGGAGGGAAAGGAGCCCCATATGTGAATAGGAAGTAGCTTATGCAAAGCCAGGGAACTGCAGGCATGCCTCACTTCCCCAGGGCCCCATCTAAGCCCCCAATTGAAGGAATAGCTGGTCAATCCCCACTGACAGCTGAGTAGGGGGTGTCCCAGCCTGTGGGGCCCCTCTATGTTCCTCCCCATGCAAGGAGGGTGGGCATGAAGTGATGAAACCTCTCATGGAAGAAATGTAGCTCTGGCATCCCGGGGGGGCGGGGGGAGGAGAGAGAGAGAGAGAGAGAGTTTTCCCCTGGGCCAGACAGAGAAGTGACAGTGGCTTCTAGACAGTGACTTGGTGGGCTGGTGAGATGGCTTAGTGGGTACAAGTGCCTGCCACCAAATCTGACCACCTCAGTTTGATCCCTAGTCCCTACATTATGGAAAGAAAGACCCAACTCTCACAAGCTGTCCTTTGACCTCCACATGTGCACTGTGGTACACATACCACCACCACAATAAATAATAAATAAATGTGATTATTTTTTTTTTATTAATGTGACTAGCCAGGCATGGTGGCACATGCCTTTAATCCCAGCACTCGGGAGGCAGAGGCAGGTAGATCTCTGTGAGTTCAAGGCCAGGCAGCCTGCTCCAACCTCTGGCTGTTATAGTCTTCCCGGTCTTCTATAGTGTTCTTTCTGTGAGCCGTGTGAGGAGGAGGTGTGGTATAGATGTCCCATTTGGAGCTGATCATTCCACAGTTCCTCATCCTCATTCTCTGCACAGGGGCAGATCTCTGTGTGTTTGAGGCCAGCCTAGTCTACATAGTGAGCTCCAGGACAGCTGGGGCTACAGGGAGACCCTGTGTCAAAAAGATCAAAAAAAAAAAAAAAATTAATGTGACTTTGTATCTTAACAGTGCATCCACCAGAAGAATGGTGACTATGCCAAGTAGAAGCCACAACAGGCTGTGAAGGACCCTGGCCAGCAACAGTTTATTCTATCTTTATGCAGTCCTTTTCCTTGTTTTCCTCCTCAGTGTATGTTTCTAGAACTTGCAGAAAGAGAAAGAATAAATGGAAGGAAAAATTGGAAGAGCTATGAGAAAAATGAAGGAGATAGGGTTTGCTGTGCTGGGCTTGCTCTCCATTTGCTCACAGCACTCTCTCACTCCCACCCCCAGGAAGCAAGCCACTTGTTCTAAAGGCAGGAGATATGGGAAGGGGATGTGCCTGAAATAAGCCACATGATGGCATCCAGGGCATGCTCTCCTGTGCACACACGAGCATCTGAACCATGAGCTCACACTGAGCTCATATACTCCTGCACACACATACTTTCATGCATGCATACCTGTATCACTCCCCCTCAACCTAGCCCAGCCCCCAGTCACCCCCATGTCTCTGTTCTGAAATTTGAAGATTCTACCCATTATGGTCCTTCATATGCATGTACCCCAAACAAGGGCAGGTCACTGGTAAGGGTGGATAACAGACCCAGTAGGTGCCGCATTCAGTGGAATCCTGGCTTGTCATTACCATCCACACTGCACTGGCCAGCTCCCCCTCAGGAGGGGTCTGCTGCCACCATTAGCTTCCTCACCTGTCAGGGCTTCAGTGAGGAAAAGGACAACCTGGAACTTGTCATTACTTTTCATGTGTCAGAACCCCATCACAATCTCTTGCCCTATAACAAACATCACCTCAATCCCTTTCCTTCCCTTCATGCTGGATTTCCCAGTCTAATGCATTTTGTTTATTTGCATGTGAGAGATGTGTGTGCATGTGTGTTCATGTATGTGAGTACAGGTGTGCATGAAGTAGGTCAGAGGACAACCTCTGGGCATTGGTCCTCACTTTTCTACCCTGTTTTGGGAGAGGTTTTTTTTGCTGCCATAAGAGCCAAGCCAGCTGCCCTGAGCTGGAGATGCCCTATCTCTGCCTCCCATCTCTCCCACTCCATAATGGTATACTGGGATTACAGACATTTGTGCTACAGCATCTGATTTTTATATGGGTTCTGAGGATCCAGACTTGGGGTGTCAGGCTCACAAAACAAGTGCTTTTATGCACTGAGCCACTCTGTGGCCTAGCAATTTAAAGCTTCAGCTGGCTCCTACATCTTATACCTTTTCGATATCCTGGTATCCCCCACGCCCCACCCCGGCCCCTGAAGTCAGCTGCCCCAAACCTTAAGACCTCTCATGTGAAACAGGCAAAGGTGTACACTGTGGTACAATCTGGGGACCATGGACAAGTCACAGGTGCACTGTGCTCTGACCAAGGCTTACTGCATTTTGGGGCAGCAGCACTTTAATATAAAGGCATAACACAGGGCAGAAGAAACAGTACAGGCAGCCTGGATAGACAAAAGCCAAAGCTGGTTGCCAAAGGAATTGCCAGTCAAGGAGAGAAGCAACGGCACCGCTACAGTGCCACTTCCTGTGGCAGTCAGCACCTTGTCACAGAGACAGCCTGGGCACAAGGTCATCGTGGGATGCTGCAAGGTAGTGCTATGTGCATCTTATGTTTCGGCATGTAAGTCAGTCTTTGAACGTCTCATCTTCAGATTCTGAAATTCTTCACATCCTTCAAGGAGCAGTGAGAAGAGAGAGGCCCAAAGGACGAGGAGAAACGGGCTGCATGGGATATCCATCATGGTTCAAGTCTACGGCCTCCAGCTTGATCAGAAAGCCAAATCATTCCTTTGTGCAGATATGCACAGGGGAAGGAGTGCAGACGGTTATTTATCAGCTCTGGATTTTCTGAGAGGCCTCGGAACTAAAATGAAAGGTGTGCCCCCACCGTGGAAGCAACTCAGGTTATTGCATGACATTCGTCTCTTCAGCTCAGTGATAAATGATGGTGTGCTAAGGGGATAAACTGCATCTTAAAGAAGCCTATGCAGGCTCCTGTTGCCATGGCAACAGACATCCCACCATCACTCCTCTGCCTATCAAAATCACAACTGGAACAGAAAAATCGCTCTTGTTTGTTCCATTAGAACTGCTGGTTGTTGCGTATAATTACTTAAATGACAAAATATGATTGCCTGATAGGTATGGCTCTTAAAAGCACAGAAATGGTCAGACAACTCCAAGAGGGAGGCTCGGCAGGGACTACAAGTGCCAGCCTGTGGCGCTAATCACAGAGATGGAACATCTGTGTTCTTGTGGGGCTCCTGAGGCACCACAAAGCCCTGGCCTTGGTTTCCTTCTAGACTGCCACTGACATAGGAAAAGCTAAGGACAGCACAGACCAAGGTGTGACAATTCCCTGCCATGGACCTATTACATTAATTTGAGGTGAAGATAAATTTCCCACAGAAATGAGATGAAGACAGCAAGCCATGTGTTCCTAGCACCTCTGGCTTTCAATTACCTCTCTCGCCACTGTGCTTTCCCTCAGGGAGAGAGGAAGGAAAGGAAGGAAGAAACAGGGATTCGAGGTGGGGGTATGTCACTGACCTCATGCTCCGTGTGTCCCAGCCTCGCAGGGTGGTGTCACTTGCTGTGGCCACTTGAGTACAGTTGTGGTGTGGGCTCCACCGGCCCACAGTGAACTTCAACTGCCCTTTTCCTTCCAGTGCTGCCGAGCTGGCCAGCTGGGAATGGCGGGTATTAGTTTTCAAAGAAAAGAAGAAACGTGTAAACTCTTTTCAGAAGATTCAAGAAGATATCCTACTATCAGGATTTTATGGAAATAATTAGTAGAATAATTAGGAAGTTCTGTCTTTGTTTTCTTCCCTTAAAAGGCAAGACTGTTCGAACCTTATCAGAAAAAAAAATATATATATATATGCACAGTAAAAAATAGAAGGCGTATTAATAGCCCCTATTACAGAGGACTTGCTTCAAATGTGTGATTAGAGACAATCAGCTCAAACTTGAAGAAAACAATATGGAATAACTCAAACATCTGGCTTTCCCAAAGACAAGCAAAACAAAGTCCCGTGGTCAGCTCCCTCCAGAATAACAAGGGATGAACACGTGTTCAAATACTGTTTACCCAATGTGAGACCTCCTTCCCCCTTTATAACAAGAACCGTGGAATCCTCACATGGGGTTCACTAAATCTCCACAGGCCCGTGAGGCCCACGGAGCTGTCTCCTGGTGCTGAGAGAAGGCAGGCCTTGGCCCAGGCCTGAGAAAGAAGCCCGCTCCACTTTTCCACCTGCCTGGGAGCTTCAGGCAAAAGCCTGTGGGTTTTTCCATTTGGGGTTTGAAGTTCTACTCACATGATGAATTTAAAGGCAGGGGTCCACACCTGCCTTGGTAGTACACTATCCATCACAAATATCCCCAAGCCCACCATGGCTAACTTCACTTTAACCTTCAAACTGCTCTTCAGAGACCCCTGAGGAGCTATGTGGCCAGATACTCAGGGAGCCAAGCCAGACCTTAGCAGCTTGGGAACAGAGGCCCAGAAAGAAAGCTTTCAGGGGTTGCTGTCAAGAGAGGAGGTCCTGTGACAGGATTAGGTGTTAATGTGCCTTCATCCTTCTGAGAAGTATCAAGGGCCAGGTTGAGCAGAGGTAGTGAGAGCCTCCAGGCATGAGAACTACGTAGGTCTGACCATGGTTCCGAAAATGTGACAGTGCAGAATGGAAGAGATGTCAGGGATTTTTGGTAGGGATCGAGAAGCCACCTCCACCCCCTGAAGCTAGGGACTCTACAGTATTGAAACACACAGATGGAAGGCCCCTCTTCATGCCAGAAGAGGCCATCAGAACAGAGAGGTGTTCTGAGGCTGGAGTTGTAAGATCTCCACAGTTTTGTAAGAACTGACTGGGGTGGAGACCTTGCAACAATCCTCCTGGACATGAGGAAGTGAGTGCACAGAGGTGAGGCCTGTGCCTCAGGAGGGTCACAAGTACAGAAACTAGCTCTCACCTCTGCAGGCCAAGGCAGTTCACAAGGCAACTCAGAAACAGGATGGGGCAAGGGGAAAAGTAGAGCCTAAGAAGCCGGGGCTGTCTTGGGATCATCACGACCAGGATGGTGGCTATAAGTCTGGGGTAACGAGCACTAGGGACCCCGATACTCCAAAGGCTCACTCCCACCACCCACTTCTATTCTCTCACCCAGTCCAGCTTCCTCAAACCCCAGGGCAGAAAGAAATGTGCCTAGAGCACCCAACAAGCCATCTCACTAGCCTGGTACAAGCCATCATTCAGACTTCACCAGATGGCCTAGGTGTCAACTACGGATAGTCAACAGGGTGCGTGAGTGGGGTAGAGCGAAAGAGGGATGCACTGCTAATGAGACTGTGGTATCTCTTGCTCTTTCTAGTTCACTGTGTCAAGTTCACAGCCCTTTGCTTTCCTGAACCTTTGCAGACAAGGCACTATTCCTCTCAGTCAGTACATGGGCAGGTAGGCTCCTAGGAGACACAGCACAGGGACATGAGGAGGGCTGGGCAGGTGGCTCAGTGGTAGAGCACTGCTTATCTAGCATGAGCAAGGCCCTTGGTTCCATCTCCAGTACCGGGGTCAGGGAGAATAACATGTAGAACGGAGGTTTAGCTCCTAGCTGAGTTCAGAGGGAATGGTGTTGAAGAAGGGGTGGAGCATGCAGAGATGAGGAAGAAGCTGCTATAGAAGCTATGTGGAAGGGAGGAAATGGGGACAGGAAGCATCACGCCGCACCTGAGCTAAGTCAAAGGAAGATGGATGGTAAGAGCCAACTGGAGAGGAAGTCAAAAAAAATCTCTCCAACAGCCATGTTGGGATGCAGTCACCTGAAGGGAAGCCAGAGGCAATGCTGCCTCAAGATCTACAAGTAACCCTAACCTTCGATGCATATGCAAACACACATTAGGGACACAGTGTGGCTGATTTGGGGCTTTAAATTTTAATGTCCACATAACAACATGTGAATGAAGAAATCGTCCGGTAGTATATTCTTTAAGTAGAAACAATGCAGGCGGCGTTTCAGTTTTCTGAAGACCTAGCTGTCTGATTAATGAGAACTCACTGATGACAATGAATATGCTAAAAAATATAAGCTCAACAAGCAAGAATGCTGTGTTTTGCCTAATCAACACTGAGCTCTCATCAATTTTCCATTAAACACACTAGTTCACTGTCAAAGTCTTCAGGAAGGTGAGGTCATAAGGCCATGTCTTTAAAAGCAGACAGGTTCAGTGAGGGAAAAGAGCAAGCTTACTGCTTTGTGGAAAGACCACAACCTTAGGCAACAGACCCCTGGGAAGCTCTCCACATCTTTCCATACACCCATGCCATGAGGACTCATCAGAAATCTACAAAGGCCAGCGCACAGAGCTAAGCACAGCCTGCTTCCCCGTGCTGAACTTCACCTGTGGGCAGCTGTAGATTTCTGAAATAATAAGGTATTAGTTCATTAACCCATCAGCTAACCATCAATTAACCATACAATCAAAAAAGTTGTTCATCCAGTGAGCCCGCACTGTGTAAGCGCTGCCTCCTCACATTCACCATGTGCCTGGGGGGAAAGGCTCTGGACAGAGCAAAGGACCCAGCTACAAGGCCAGTGCCAGTTACTGGAAGCTGGCCCAGAGCTGGGAGTGGGTGTGGTTCATTTCCTGGTTATCACAAATCACATGACACAGATGAGGAATCAGACTCTCTCTTGATAATTCAAACCACCAGTCAATAAAGAAGCCTAGCAAATTAGAGCCAGGTAAGCAACAATAGTATACGTTTAGAAGTTTCAGAGAAAGTAGGATTTAGCCGGACTGGAAGGAGAGAAAGTTTCCTGAGGGTTAAAAGCACAGAGTGACTTTCAAGGCCAGCCAGAACTTCAGGTGGAAAGCACAGTAGTGAGGCGAACTTCGCAGGAGAGAGCAGCAACAAAGCAGAGGCAAGGAGATGTGGACAGGAGCTGGAAGGCGGTAAAGACACATCAAGCAGAAGAGAAAGCAGTCAGGAGTCCTCAAGTGGGACAGGGGAAGTAGGGCTGTGGGAGGATGAGTCTACCTGCAGAGGACAATAGGGACAGAAGAAGCCAAGCAAGCCTAAGGCCTAGCCCTGGACTTTGTGATCTGGATGACTCACTCTCCTGAGTAGCCAGTCCCTAATGAGGTCTACCTCAGGGACCAGACGGTAACTTCTATGAAGCAAGTGACCACACTGCAGAGGCCCACCCAACAGGAGCCATATCCTCCAAAAGCCCTGTTGCTCAGCTTGGAAGCTGTCTTCCCCACCAAGCCTCTAATCAGTCACCAGCCCACAGATCCACAGATACATCACTGGGTCAGGTCTCAAGTGATGCATAAAAACAACAGGTAGTAGAGCGGGCTCTATGAAGTAGGCAACTCTGTGGCTAGCTGTGAGAGAGCAGCAGAGGTCCTAACCAGAGGTTATCTGGGAACCCAGAGGTCAAGATGGGTAGGGAGTGACTCTCAGCAGCTTAGAAACAAGCCCTGGACCTCCCCTTACTTCAAGATGGGAGAACTAGACCCCAAAGTGGGAGGGAGCTCACACATGGCCACAAACCAACTTGAGGCAGAACCAGGACCTGACTCCTGACCCTCCTTCTCTGATCAGGCAATTGTGCAGACTTCGAGGCAATGCGACCATACCTATGACATCTTAAAAACAACCTGCTCAGGGCAGGTAGCAGGCCTATTCTGCAAGGTTGGCCAATCACACCTCTATTTCCTGAGACATGGAGACAGCGCTGTAAGAACTCCAGAATGCAAACAACACAGTCATCTGTTTTTAAGGATTAATGAGAAATATTCAGGGTTTCCTGGTCCAAAAGAGATGATTAAAGGCCTCTCACAAACTTCTGCAGACAAGATGTCACCTATACTAGGACACGAACAAAAGGAAACACCCTTTAATGAACAAAACACTGTGACCAGTATCCTCCTGGTAGCTCATGTGGGGCCTGATTCAGAAGAGCCTCGGTGAAAGAGTTCCAAAGAGTTCCAGTTATCACAGCCACCGCAAGCAACGAAGAGCAAATGCCGTGTGCTCATGGCAGCCTCCTGTGTACTACAGCCAGCCCTGCAGAGAAGCCCACCTCTTCTGCAAGGAGGTGACCAAGAGGCAGGACTTGTGGTGCTTAAAGCACAGGGGACACAAAGTACGCTGTGCAGGCTGCCTGAACTGTAATAGATTGCTTATTCGATAACTGTGACCACCCACTCTGAGCCCTTCCCAGGCTTGGGCTTGAGACTGCTTAAAGCAGAGCATGTGGACTAGGTTTAAGTGTAGAGGGCTGTATGACACTGGTTCAGAGAAATCAGCTTCTCTTTGTTGGGACTCTGGGTGTGATGGCTGGAACTGCTGCAATTGTTTTGCCATCATGACAAAGAGCAGTGCAGTGATATGCAGATATGCAGAGCAGAAAGATATAAACTAGGACACCCTGGATGATAGGCTTAAGAATTGAACTAATCAACATCAAAACTGCTTTATTTCCCTGTTTCTTGCTGAATCAGACAATGCAATTCCCTGATTATTTATTTAAGGCTGTTCTTGTGCTTGCAGCTAAATGTACCTGTCACCCTAATAATACCCACCCATACAAACATGACACCCACAGCAAGTCTCCTTCCCAATCTCAGGCTAGGAGCTCTGCCAGAGGTGATCTGGCACTGCTGACTCTTAGGCTG